CAAATTTCAGTGTGGGCCAATTTTAAACCCGGCCCACTAATAACCCGGCTCACCCGGGTTCAACCCGTGGTGAGCCGGGCTGACCCACCAGCCCATAAAAAAAAAAAAAAAAAACTTCTGCTATTGGGTTGGGCCAAATAAAACTTCATAGACCATCATAGGTTCTCAATTTTATGTATTTTTTCTTCAAATTATGTAATTAGTGTAGGAATTTATTTACTTTTCTCTAGAAAAGCTTATGTGCATACTATTTTTGCAGGATTGGGCATTAAATTTGATTACATTTTTTTAAATTAGGTGATTTTTTCAAATTAGGTGAGCCAACCCGTTTAGCCCACCAACCCGTGGTGGGCCGGGCCGGGCTCAATTTTTTCCAGCTCACCAATAAATGAGCCGGGTTGAGTTGGCCCACCAAAGGCTCAACCCGTGGTGGGCCGGGCCGGGCCGGGTTACCCGATTTGACAGCTCTATTCGTGGATAATATATTTTTGCGAATTTTAAAATTCGCAGGAAATTTTCTTGCAAAATTTCTTGTGAAAAAAATTCGCAAGAAAGTTTCCTGCAAAAAAAAGTTTGCAGGAAAGTTTCCTGCAAAAAAAGTTTCACAGGAAAGTTTCTTGCGAATTTTTTCGCAAGAAATTTTGTAAGAATATTTTTAACAAAAAAATTAAAGAAATTATTATAAATTCTATTAATAATTTTTTAACTTTCAAATGCTCATAATGAATTCATTCGAAATATTTGTTTTCATGCCTCCAACATGTGATACATAATCTTTTAAATTCTAAGATTGTAGATTCTCAACCATACAAATCAACTTGTAAGGTAAGTGTTGCCCCAACTTATATACTCTTTAATCGCTTTATTTTCAATCGATGTGGAACTTGATTTTTTTTTTAAATATTAAACTTATAAATTTAAATTTTTATTTTTTTTATTTTTCCTGCAGATTAAAATTTGCAGGAAAATCCGCAGGAAAAGTTACCTACAAAATTTTTCTACCATTTAATAAACATTACTTGCGAATTTATTTTTGCAAGAAAATCTGTAAGAAACAAAATAAAATTCTTAGAATATTTTCTGCAAATTTTTACCATGAAAAAAAATTTCTATGATTATTAAAATTGTAGCAAAATTTGTAAGAAATATCTGTAAATTATTTTTCCCAAATAAATTCACAAAAAATTTCTGCGAATATTTTTTTGCAAGAAAATGACACATTTCTAATAGTGTATGTATGATCCTCTCAAGGTGAGTTTGGTTATTTTATCTTTTATATTTATGATTGTTATTCTTTTTTTTTTTTTTTAATTAAGAAAATCATTCATGTTTTTCATATTAAATATATTTTTCAGAATAAAATAAAAAGGATGTTAATAGTGGTAGTCATAACTCATTTAGATTTTTTTTCTATATGTTTATCATGAAAATTTAAGATAGAGATAACCATTTGAAAACCCTTTCTATTTGGTTTTTTTTGTTAGTGTTATCAAATATTAATTAATTTCTAAAACACATGTTAAACCAAAAAAAAAATGTTAACCAACTTATTTCTACACGAAAAATTAGGTAATATATTTGAATACGTAGGAACAAGGTCGACGTTGTCGATTTAAAAAATAAATCAATATAATAATAATTTTTTTAAGATATAATATGTTTTTTAATAATAACAAATCATTAAAAATAAAATAATAAATAAATAAATTCAAAATAATCCTTTTTTAGGAGTAAAATAATAATTTTAAAGTAATATTAAATTTATACATTTAATTAAGATAATTATTTTAAAGATAGACATTTTAGAGTGCTAATATTTTTGTTATATGTAATCGGTTTTTACACCCTTGTTTTGGTTAAAACTAACTTTTAATTTTAATTTTTTTTTGTAGTTTTTCATAATAAACTATAGTAACGACTTCTCAATTATTAGACTTATTAATTTTCTTACATCTCATTGTAATTAATCTTAATTCGAATCTTGAAAGATATGTGTATGTAATTTATTAAAACACAAGGGCTTTCAAGCCATCCTTAATACCAAAACAAATTTTATTAAAAAATAGACTAACTCAATAATGTTTGGAAGATCATACTTTATAAATCATGTGATTGAACCACAGCGAAATAAATATACAACTAAAATAATTTTCTCTTTCAAACTCTTCTTATAAAAAATCCAAGACTTAACTAAAAATAGATTTAACATATAGGTCTTTAAATTTTTAAATTTTTTTAACTAAGTCCCTAAACTAAAATAATTTATAACGGAATCCATGCAATTAATAAATTAAACAGTCACAAGCTATTATTTTTATTAAATTTTAAACTGTCATAAGCTAATTCTAGATAACTAGTTATAAAAGTTATATAAAAAAAATTAATTATAATTTTTAATTTAAAGACTTAATTATATATACTCAAAAAAAAAAAATTTCTAACGCCATTTCTATTTGATGAGCAATCTCCTTGAAAATCCCCTTACTTTAATTTTATTTGGTAGAAAGTTGCACATTGTTCTTCATATCTACCTAAACTTCACTGTCATGTATTCTCTCTTCTTTTCTCTACCCTTTCCGATCCATATAAAGCCACCCCTTGCCTCGTGCTTCACTATCATATGTCTCTCGCTACTAGTTTCGATTAATCTTGCTTGGGACCAGCATGGTCACATTTCTTAAAACTCCTACCTTCCTTTTTTTGAAATTTGTTTCTTACTTCCAACAATGTTTATCCATAAATCTATAGGATTTTTGTTCGGATGTTGTCTAAACAAGTTAGTTATCTATTGGAAGTTTATGTAATAAAAATAACGTTAACTCCCCAGAGCCTGTCCTGTCTTTATCAAAATTTTCTTCTTTTTGTAACGGAGAGATAAATACTAATTTCTTGTGGTATAAAAATTGATTAAAGAGGCTAATTTTTCTTAACAAAGATACTTTTATATACATAGACTTCAAGATAGAATTGTCAATGTTTGGATACAAATTTTGAATAACTTTTGAGACTTGTCTAATAAAACTGAAAGGTATTTTTCATTGAGAAATCCTCGGGAATACTTTTATCTTGCATCCAACGAAACTCTACATGTTTAAGAAATACAATTAATTAGAAAAGATGGCTTTATTAGGTGAATTGGATATTAAAAAATTTATTTTCAGGATCTTTAATTTCCAAAAAAAATATTCTAAAATCTTTCCAAAGAATCATATTGATTTATATAGTATAGGATATGTGTTATTGAGATTAATTTCTAAATTCAAGAACAAAATGCAAGTTGAATCCTAAATGATATGCAACAGATTTAACACATGCAATCAATGTTGACGAAAACTCAAATAAAGAGTATAGGAATAGAGAAAAATGACATACAAATTTATATTGATTCAACCACCATAATTATGACTTACATGTAGTTCACAATTAACCTGATTGAGATTTTTCATTATCTTTAGATTCAGAGTATTACAATTACATCCACATGCAATAAACTACTGGAATCTTAAAGATAAACCTATTTCTGGAACCTCAAGAAATGTCCCTTGTAGTCACCCACTACAAGACCTTTTAATCTTGAGAAACCTACTCAAGAACAATGATAAAGAGAGTTATAGAACGAATTCACCTTGAACCAAAATCAATTAAAGAGGTGAATCAGATTTAGAGTAGCTTAGTCTTTCTCTCTTAGTTGGAGGATGATGATCCTTGAACCTTTTCTTGAAATTACCCACAAAAGATCAAAGAAAAATAGAGAACTCTAGAGAGCCTTTTTCACAATAGATTTCATAAAAGTTACAACTTTTTAAGAATGATATGTTCTAAGTTTGAAAATTGATATTTATAGAACTCTATGACTAAAATATTCGATTATTTTCATGGATAATTAATTATTTTATTCTTGGTGAGTTTTGAAACTAGTCAAGAACACTATAATTGATTATTTGTTGGAATAATCAATTATTACAAAGCACTACCTCTGAAATAATTGATTATTTCACATTGATAATCGATTATTACAGTGAGTTTCTCAATGAGAAAACTCAATGTAAATAATCGAATATTCAAGTGTATAATCAATTATTTTTAGTGGCAGACTCAAATTCTCAATTTTCAAATTTAAAATAAGTTTAAAACCAGTTTCATCATCAAACATCATTTAACAAGAAATATTTGATTAAATTACTCATAATGCATAAAACAAACATGTCTAACAAAGTGTAAACACACATCAATATAATTTGCACTCTCTTAAAAACATGAGATGTACTCTTTTGTAATCATCAAAACATCAAAAACTAAAGTTTTCATCTTGAGCTTTGGTCAACACAATTATCTTCCAATAATACGATACCTTGTTGGTTGTCTTTATCAATATTTTCTAATGAAACAAAAGCCACTTAAAAAATAATTTTATGAATAAATAGTACATGGATCAATAGATGATTTTAAGAGATTTTACACCGCAATTCAATTGCAAATTGTGGGTGATTAGTTTGTTAACTTTTATACCAAATTCCTTAAAAATCACATCTTTATTAAATTCTAACTTCATCCATAAAATTTCAATGAGTTGACATAATGATTAAGAATCCTACGATCACACATTGTGGAGATGATATATGTAGCAAAAATTTGTCTTTGATTTCATTGTATCTGAAATTTTTATCGTGTGCAAATACTCATTAAATTAATGACAATTACAGTACTGTGAACGAAATTAGTTTCTAGTTCATTAGACAACAAGAAATTGGTGGTAGGAAATAAAAAAAAAAAAAAAAATCCTCTCCCAAGTACCCTACTATAAATTGACCCTAGCTAGATAAAATGAATAATTAATAATTTATTAAAATGAAGCTAGAAAATAGAAATGATTAAAATGACAAGGGAGTAATAACATAACATGGGGTTGTGTGGTGAGAGTGACACAAAGAGGTCCCGCAAGCACACTTCCCTTAACCCATTCCTTTCTCAAAACCCCTATTTAACAACACACCCACCCTAATGCCTTTCCCATGCACTTCCACTCACTCAATATCAATAACCTTATTCATTCCTCTCATGCTCATGCCACTTTTTTCCCTTAGGTCCCTCCCTAGCTCCCACACTTTCTTTCTTCTCTCTTTCTCTGACAAATCCACTACCTATAGCTAGCTTAGTAGTTATTAGTTGGTACTTCTTGCACAGACACAATATCCTTCTATCTCATTCGGTTACCTTGAACAAATCGAAAACAACAGCAAATATTTCTGACACACCCTTTTAATTAACAACAATGTCTACAAGAAGATCTCGTTCCAGACAACAATCCGGTGTTCCCACTGAGATCACTGATGCTCAGATTACTGATCTCGTTTCCAAGTTGCAACAACTCATCCCTGAACTACGGGCAAGGCGTTCCGACAAGGTACTAATAATACTAATCATTATCATAATAATCATCAAACTTATCATTATTATACACCTAATTTTTTTTTATCATTTTATTTAATTGTTTTTTTTCTCTCTCTCTCTCTCGAAAATGAAATGGACATTCTGTCTTAAGAATAAAGTGTACGTGAAAATTTTTAGTAATGATCATAATAATGATAATAATTTTGCTTCTTTAGCTCCCATCTCTTTCACTATTCTCTCTTTCTCTCTCACGAACAAGTCACATGCACGAGACACAAAAACACAGATTTTCTGTGGCTTTGGTTGGCCTTGCTAGATAAGTCATGCCACTGACCACCCTTTAATGTTTTTTTACCCACAACTTGTGAGGGTGTGGGACTAAGATATTCCCTTGCCATCATTGACTATACTTTAGTGGCATTAAATGCAAAATGTGGGAGGAAAATATAAAAATTAATTTTTAATTTTTAATTTTTTTTTTTTTTTGGTTCTTGTAGGTTTCAGCTTCCAAGGTCTTGCAAGAGACTTGCAACTACATCAAAAACTTGCACAGAGAGGTTGATGATCTAAGTGACCGGTTGTCACAACTTTTGGCAACCACAGACTCCAACAGTGCCCAAGCAGCCATTATTAGGAGCTTACTTATGTAATAATATTAATTATAATAATTAATTATAGAGCTTTAATTTCATGTGTCGTGTGCATGTTAATTTAGCATGTTGTGTCATATATATATCCTCTATTCTGAGTAGGGTTTGATTTGTATGACCAAAGCAGAAGGCCACCTCCATTTACTTAGTTTAATCAGACACTTTGTAGTTTGTATTACTATAAATAAAATGAACTTGCATCTTGATGAGTTTCATTTAGTCTGAATGGTTGTACATATTATAATGTGTGTTTATACATGAATCCGTACCCGTGTAGAACATATGGCATTTTTTTTTTATATATTTTCAAATTAGGAGGCTACAACATGCTTTTGTTTGATTTCATACAGTCTATCTTATTAGAGAAACTCAGCGGTTTTGCGTGGACCCATTTAAAGGGGCAAGTTTGAACCTGACCTATTACATGTGACATTGCCCCCACACCATTTTCGGTTATTTGTTCTGGCCAACCCGTGATGTTAGTGTTGGACCACTGTATACAATGAATCATTCATCATGAACCTTTACCAGAGTACATTTACCTATCTATATCTGTTGTTACATATGCACCATATATGTATATGGATATAGATAAGATATACCTGTATCTATTATTTACAAATTAAACTAACATTTGCTTCATGAATAATATATATGTATATATATGGAATGGAAACCATTTACCTCAAGAGTAACTCTTGGTATAGTATCTTTAGTGTTAAAAATTTATGTTCTGTATTTAATTTTAAATATTTAATCATTAAATTAAAAGTTTTTAATTAATAAATAAGTTTACAAAGTTTTACAACATTTTAAAAATATTCGATATTTTATTACATCAATTCAAATAAACTAGTATTTACAAATGCATATCATATGTTAATTTAAGTCTATATAATATATTATATAATTTTTAAAATTTTACAAATTTTATCTATTTATTAAAATTTTAATTTAATAATTAGATTATTAAAATTTTAATTTAATAATTAGATTATTAAAATTTTATATAGAGTATGAATTATTAAATGGAGTAATTCTACTTAAATTTTCATTTTGATGAGTATCTAGGGACGATAGCAGTGACTAATCTCCACGCTATGTTGGAGGCACTTCAAAAGGTGGAATAGCTGGCCGCATACACAAGACAGGATTCGAACCCCTGATCTTGCTTAAGCGTAGATCAACTCCTACCACTAAACCACACGCTTGGGGTTAGAATAATTGTTTAATTAAGTTATTTTAATTTTAAATTGAAGGATTTAATGATCTCATACTTTTGGTGTAAAATTTTGTGCACATTCTACTAATAAAAGATTACCATTAATATGAATTTTAAGGCAATTATATAAAAGTTAACAAGCTTACCACCATACATGGTATTTTGTGATTTGACAATAGTGTAAAATTGTTTTATATAACAAGTAGATAGTTTTTTTATCTCTCTCTAAAATTAAGGTATCAAACATAAAAAAATTATATTTTCTATTTTATCTCATTTTAATATATCTAAGTCCTACTTAGTTCGAATAATTAATTAAAATTGTTTTTCAAGAAAAGATTCTTCTACTAGACGTCCAAGAAATACTATCTAAAAGGAGATCTAATATCTAGACCGATCTATATAAAGTTGTTTAAAGATAAAAACGATAAATGATTTTCTGGTTTACGAGAAATACCCTAGTCAACATTTTATTATGGGATACGCCAAAAACAATAATTGTGAACAAATTCTTATTTTCTAAAGTCTAGGTAATTGAAAAATAACAGAACAAAAAATTAGTCCAGTAGAATATAAAATAGAATTAATTGATATCTAATAAGCTATGAGTTTCTATTTCAGTTTTTTCTTTTAAGTAGGACAAATGTAAGTCCTTAAAAGTGTTTTTTGTGCTAGATGCTTTTCTTGCTTTAGAATAATGAAATGTCTTCCCTCCTCCTAATAATTTTACCAATGAAAAAGAAAAATAGTCAAATCGTTAGTCCCAAAAGTTTGAACCTCCCAGAATTTTGCATTGCTCGATTGTCAAAATCCCAGTGATAAATTTGGACTACGGAACAAAACCGTTTTAGGGATCAAGACCCTTTTGCAATTTGAATTTAAACCGAAGGAATTTTAATTCTGAAAACTTTTCATAAACTTGGTAAAGTATAATAATAAAAAAATGAGTAACTTTAAAATTATTCAGATATCTCGTACTTGCAATTATTTTTACATTGAGGGTTACCCTCGTTTTTCTTTTTCTGTTGTCGGATAAAACAATACGAATCAACTTTTTCCCATATCGCATGTTATATTACATACGAGTAGTACCTTATGGTACGCGTGTGGGGGGCATATATATGGGGATCACGATTGCCGTTAGCTTTTTACGTTCTCGAATTCACACTGATTATTGAAGACGAAGAATGAATTGTGTTGGGAATCTTTTCACGATAATTTTAAGTTTATATGAAAAATTGTATTTATTTTTCATAAATATTAAATAAGTGAAATTTCATTAAAATTTATGAATAACTATGTAAAAAGTTAATTTCATAAAATGATAATAAATTATAAATTAAAAATCAGAAACTGTACTGGAAGGGTCCTATCGGTCACGTGGACCGACACGTGATGTCCCATCAGACATGGACACAAATCTCGGATGCGGCCTCGGCTCGGCAGAGGGCCGAGAACAAAGGACAATCCAACCTTTTTTCTATCGGCTCGGCCAAAGGCCAAGAACGAAGGGGTAGTCCCAACCTTGTCCTATCGGCTCAGCTAAGGGCCGATAGAGCCAGGCAATAGTTAGGACGATGATCATGATTAACAAGGGAAAATGCGCGATTAAGGCATAATCAGCCGATTAGCAGCGTATTACCTAATTTGGTAAGTGTCAGAAGAGGTCCACCACGTTCAGGGCCCATGACAAGTAGTATAAATAGGTCACATAAAACGAGCTATGTCACTGTTCATTTATTACTCTCGAGAATCGTGCTTGTCTTGACTTGAGCGTCGAAGTGCCTTTTACAGGTACCTCCCCCCTCTGAAACATCCACCCGGAACTCTCGTTCGACCCTCTAGTTATCAGAAGATTACAAGTGTGCCCTTAGACAGGTACAGAAACCATTTCCTGGATTTTTTTTTTTTTTTTTATGTAATCAGTCGAGGAACCATATCGTGATTGACTATAACCGGAAATGTTCTAGGCAGACTACTCATTACAACTATATCAAGGTGGGTTGTATCATTGGGTACAGCAGAAGGGATAGTTCACACAACATAATAAACCAAAGATTGAATTCACAATTAGTAGAAAATAGAAATGTCCCAATATGTTGTCGGGCCTTACTTCAAACAAAATTACTTTTTAAATGAGAAGAAACCAAAAAAAATATATATATTTATAACTGAAAATTAGATAAATTATATTAAAGACAATGACGATGATCTGATATATATATATATATATAGTATCCTTAATTAGAAATAATTTTATTCGAGTCGATAGGGGTTTGTTTACATAAAATCCTCCATAAATACTTTTAAGAAAAAAAATATAAAAAAAAATTAAATAAGTTTTTTCATAAATTAAAATTAATTTGTATAAATTAAAAATAATATTTTTAGAGAAGTTAACACTAGTGTAAAAATAGACTTTCTTGACGTACTTGCTATGCTGAGTGTTATGCATATCATATAGTGTCACAACTGAGATCATGACGAGAATGGACAAAAATATCTTTTTATCATGTCACCACCAATATTTTATTTAGAAAGAAAAAAATTGAAAATTCCTTTAGAAAATGTGGTCTTTGATATCAGAATTGCACTCGGAAATCAATTACATATAAGAAATATATTATCATCTTACAACGCCTATTAAAAGTAGTACCTCTACTTAATTGTACAAAATTATATAACTTTATAAATATTTATTTTACCCATAAGAAATATTTTTTAATCCTTTAAAAAGTTATATGTGAAATAGGCTTCTTTTTGTATTTTTATTTAAAAAAAAACATGGATAAGAATTCAAGCTAGCAAATGACTAGTATAATTAGACTCTTAAATTTGATAACATTAAATATAGAATTTGCTATTCAAATAATACTATCAATATTATTGTTGATTTTTCGTAAAAAGATAACTTTTATTTTACCTTATTCACAAAATTTTATGATAGCAAATGACTATTCTATAAACTTTTATGATTTTACGATATTAAAAGGTAAAAGTGCTTGTTAGGATAAATTTCTTAAGCCAAATAGAAAATTTTCATTAATCAATATTAAGAACCATTGTCTCATATTACAGAGTTAAGGTTAGTAACACATACTTGTATCCATTGACGTTGATCAAAAATTGCAGCGAAATAGTCTTTTGGTGCAACGATCTTCCTTAGCCAAATCACTAGATTCCTTAATGAGACTTGATGTTACTCTTCTGATGGGGAGACAGAGAGACGTGTGTTTCTAATTTGACATATTAGGTACCATGACCATCTTTACAATTTTAAACCTATTAGGGTTCCCATTAACCCCTAACGGGCCAAATCTGGTTTCCAATTATTTGGGCCCATATCAGTTTTTCCTATTGGCAGTCAGTCTAAAGGCTCACTAAAATTAGATCACTTTTATTGAGCCCAACTAAATGTAAATAACTAATATAAATACTACGAATAATATATGTAGCCACAATAATTATTAGAAATAAAATTTCTAACAATCTCCCACTTGGGCTTCATATTCATTTAAGTATTTATATCACAAAATTCTTTAGGCACTCAACCGTATGCTATTTACTTTTAAACTCCCCTTAAACAATCTGGTCCATCTCATACAACAATAAGGAACCACTGTAGCTTTCATCATTATCTAATGTGGCTAAATCACAATGATCACCACAATTGTATGCACTCAATAACATAGATCAAATATGGATAAGTGGCATGAAAATTACATGCAACATGATCTCAGTCATGTCTATTTGCAACTGGTCCAAACTTTATTCTTTATAGAGATCCATTCAAAACGCAACATATATATATTGCACGGAAACAAGCTCAGAATAAAATTATGAACATTAACTTTATTTATGTAGAAAATCCAAATAATACAAATATATGAAAAATTTTAAAAATAAAGAAGACATAAAACATAAATGAGACTCCCACTAAACTAGGGTACTATAAGGAATTACACCCATATGAGCAGTGTGCTCATGAAATACTTTAGGCACCAAACCCTTAGTAAGTGGATCAACTAGCATAAAATTAG